CTATGTCCCTAATCTGTGTAAATCCTCTAGCAACAAGACGCGCTTTGTACCTTACTTGACCATTAGCATCAAGGTTTTGCTTAAAAATCCATTTTGTGTCAATAGGATTCCTCCCTCTTGGTAAATTGGCAGGTTCGTACACATTTAACCTTTCCATGTTTTTCAGCTCTTCATCTGTAGCCTCTAACCATTTTTCCTTTCTTCCCTTGTGGCAAACTTTCTATTTCCTCAAAACTTTGAGGCTCATAATTAACTAAACATACTCTCACATTTTGTATTGTGAACCTGTCAGGTTTCTTTCTGGTTCTCTCACTTCTTCTGAGTAAAATTTCCTGACTAGTTCCTTCCCCAGGATCTTCATTCACCTCATCATCCTCATCTGAGAGCCTAGACCTCTTAAATTTTCTAATTATAGGCTTACTTATGAGTTGAGGTGTAGCAGCACTTTCCTGCACTGTGTTTTGTCTACCTTGCTCACGAGTTTCCTCTTTCGAAATAGGAAAGAAAACTTCCTGATTAGCATGAATCTTATCCCAATTCTGGCTACAGGCAAAATTAGCAGATCTTGATATAACAATGCTTCCTTCATTATCTAAAAATCGCCAAGCTTTGGCTCCCTGTGCATAGCCAACCATTGTTAATTTCCTGGCTTTGTCTTGGCCTTTCCTTCTTAATGGTTTGGGGATGAACACCCATGCCTGTGTTCCAAAAGTCCTTAAATGCCCTAATGGAGGCTTCTTGCCATATAACATAAAATAAGGGGTGTTCTGAATAGGCTCACATCAGAGTCTATTAATTAAATAACATGCAGTCATTACTGCTTCTCCCCATAGATTTTGGGATAATCCAGAATCTTCTAACAAAGAATCTTTCACTGTTTGCACTTTTCTTACAAACCTTTCTATCTTTCCATTTTCTGCACTTTGATAAGCACATGTGAGTCTGTGCTTTATCCCCTCTTGCTTCAGAAAATTTTCTAAACTATGTGAGGTAAACTCTCCTCCTCTGTCAGTTTGGAGAGCCTTTACTCCTACTCCAAATTGTCTCTTCACATATGCCACCCAATTCTTAATAATATCAAAAACGTCACTCTTTTGTTTTAACAAAAAACACCAAGAAAAACAAGAATAGTCATCTAATAAACACAGTATATAACAGGCTCCACCCTTACTCGGTTGAAATGGTCCAACTAAATCAGCATGTACCAACTGAAACTTTTCCTCTGAGTTTCTCAAACTTTTACTAACTGGAGCTGACTGTGTTTTAGTTTTCTTGCATACATTGCAATCTAGAAACTTCTTGCAATCTTTTAATTTTATGCCTTCACTAAACTCTGGCATTTTATACAACACTTTGAAACTTGGGTGACCTAATGCTCTATGTAAATCATGAATACATTCCTGGTGTAATGGAGCATTCTTACTTATTACATTTACTTCACTTCACTTGTGTTATCTCCTGAGGTCAACACATACAAACCCCCCTGTAATACACCAGTTCCACATAACTTATTCCCTTTCAAAATCCTGACTTTTCCTCCAGAAAAATTAACTTCATAACCTTCTTTATCCAGTTTTCCAACTGATAATAAATTATAATAAATCTCTGGAACTAAAAATACATTCCTTAATGTTTTACCCAAATGCTTAACATAAACTTCCCCTTGCCCCTGTATTTTGTACTGTTTTCCATCTTCAAGGGTAACATTTGAACATTTAGGATTCACAGGGTTACAAATTAAACTTTTGTTGTTCACTATATGCTGTGAACATCCAGAGTCCACATAAAATATGTCTTCAACTGCTGGACTCCCCTGGGACTTCACAATTCTTACATACGAGGAACTCCTCCTCTGGTTCACCTTCTTCCCTCCTTGCTTCTTCTGCTGCTTTGGGCAATTCCTCTTTAAATGGTTTGGAGACCCACAATTGAAGCATCTTCTCACCACACAAACTTTCTCCGTCTCCTCCTCGAGTGCAACTCCGGCTGACTGCTTTCCTTGAGAATGCCCTGCTGTGTTTGCAGTCTCCAGGAATTGATCTCTTTGCCTTTCCCAATCAGCAAGAAGTCTGGCACAAATATATTGGAGATTTAATGGTGCTTGGGGGAGTGATTCTAAGGAATTTACTATCCCATCAAACGAATCATCCATGGATGACAGGACAATAAAACATTTGTTCGGCTCTGTGAGATGAAAGTCTCTCTCCTCCAGTTGCAAAAACAAACTCTGCAATATCTGCAAATGGTCTTTCAGACTTTCATTCTTCTCCAGTCTTTTCCTGTAAAGTCGCCTTGCCAGCACAGCCACTGTTGCTGNCAATAAAACATTTGTTTGGCTCTGTGAGATGAAAGTCTCTCTCCTCCAATTGCAAAAACAAACTCTGCAATAACTGCAAATGGTCTTTCAGACTTTCATTCTTCTCCAGTCTCTTCCTGTAAAGTCGTCTCACCAGTACAGCCACTGTTGCTGCCGAACTAGAAGCATGTACTTCTCTGAGTCTCACCCAAATTGCGTTGGGAGTTGGCAGGCTGCTTATATGAACCAATTGATCATCATCAACTCCTAACATCAGAGTAGACCTTGCTCTTTCCAGAGCTCTCAGCTGCTCTGCTGTAGCTGGCTGCTGCACTGGGTTCTCTGTACATTCCCATAAGGATTCTCTCCTCAAATAACTTTCCATTCTGACTTTCCAAATGGAATAGTTATTGCCATTTAACCTGGCCATAGGGAAAGCAAAATTCATTCCAGTATCCATCTTCTTGCTTTGCCAACAAAACACACAATGCAAAACCAAAAATGTCTTCAAAACTGGAACTGGAGAAAAATAATATCCAACTGGGCAATCTGGTCAGACTGGGCAAGCTGGGCAAGCTAGGCAGACTGGGCCCATAACCTGTTGCGGTTTGTTAGTTTATATTGAATCTACGCAGCAGTCCTCCCAACTCCAGATCCCAAGTTGATTTGCACAGAGTATAAAAAGAAAAATACAGTAGCCTTGAAAACACATTGTCCATCATTGTCCATTGCAGAAGAAAAAAACACTTACAAAATAATGCATTAATCTGCTTCTTTCCAGCAAACCTTGTAGCATAGTTCCATCTCTAATTACTTCATTTCACCCACTACCTGCATCAAGAAAACCTCACCTGATATACATCCTAATCAGGGAGTGGTTCTTTCTCAACACACACATATAAGCAAGAGGTGATTCTTGTCAAGACTTACAAAATCATATACTGTAACAATATCCGGCCCTCGGGCCTTAGTTTGAGGACCCCTGATGTAGACCCATATGTCAACACAGTTAAGCTGCATTATATAGGACCATACTGACCATATAATCTAGTTACAAGTTGAATTACAGGATAGTGTAGATCCAGCCTTAAACTGCATAACCCTAAGCATATGAATAAGCAAAATCCAACTGAATGAAATAAAACATATTATCTTGTAAGTGTGCTAAGGATAGCAGTTTTAAGCTTGTTTACCAATCATTTCCCCTTCCATAGAACAGTGGTTCTGTAATTGAACATATGTTTTATTGATTACATTTAATTCTCACTATTTGGCCCTGTGTTTAATTAGTCTTATTTGTGTATTACTTTGTTTGCAGTTGTGCACCTTTTACTGCTGAGCAAATTGGGTCTCTGGACTGTAATCAAGTTTTGATTGAGTGTCAAGTCATAATAAAAGATTGCTCAATTAAAAGGTTTTAAAAGGATCAGGGCTGGATAAATAAGAAGAAACATTGCTCCGTTCAGTAATTTATTATTATTTGCTGACAAGTCAACTTCAGCTAATGGAGATTGTGGCTAAGAGCTCTCCACGAGCTTTCATTTAGTAATAATGCTGTTTCATTTCATTAGTAGTAATGCCGTTTAAATGCCTAAGGCCTGTCTGCAATAAAAGTGTTGGTTCATCAGGTGCTCTGCTATGGCTGTTTTCTCTGGTTGAATTAGTCTGACATCTCACTGCTGGGTGCTGCATTTGATGGCCCCTATGTAGACTTGTCCACATACGGTAGATGTGGACAGAGCATATTATTTGAGAACACGGAAATGCTGGACCACTCGAACAACCACCCTGTCAGACTACACAGAGAAGCCACTGAAATCCACAAGCATGTGGACAGTTTCAACAGAAAGGAGGAAAATGAACAAAATCTGGCTACCAGTGTTTTGTTTTTATATATATATATTAAAAAAAACCTCTAAAATCAGGACAGTAAATAAAGAGCAATACTCAAAAAATAGAGGTATTCCAGACAAGAATAAATCAGAGCCAGCTAACATCTTCTAACAAAAAAAACCCCAGACTTGAAGCAGACAGGCTTTGAAGCTGCAAGGCCATTAAATGCTGATCAAAGTGGCCAATTGCAACATTCACACTTCCCTCCAGCAGACAAGAGTTCTTTCTCCCGGAAGACATTTTAGATCAAGAAAATGCATGGAGAAAAGAGGGTCCCTTCCATACAGCTGCTTTGATGTGAAAAACACACACAAAAACACACACACATAGTGTCAAGTTTGGCCCCACTAAAAGACGAACCTTACACTTACATTTTGGCTCTTCTTCGCCTTCTCTCAGTGTGAATCCATACTTGGATGCTATCCTTTGGATAGCTGGGCATTTCTGATGGTATGCATCAATTCTTTTCAGAACTTCATTGCCGAAGAAAGGGTTCGAAATCTGGAAGAGAAATCTGGTTTGTCAACACTGCCAGCTAAAGCAATTTATTTATTTATCGTGTCATCAGCAACCATACCATTGTATTACAATTCTAACAGAACAAAACAAACACACAGATTAAAAAGAAAAAAAAAAAACACAGAGATTTTGCAAACTCGGTAGTTGGTTAAATGTCCTTTGACCAGTATCTGGCCACTTGGAGTGCTTCTGGTGTTGCCGCAAGAAGGTCCTCCATTGTGCATGTGGCAGGGCTCAGCGTGCATTGCAGCAGGTGGTCAGTGGTTTGTTCTTCTCCGCACTCGCATGCTGAGAATTCCACCCTGTAGCCCCATTTCTTAAGATTGGCTCTGCATCTCATGGTGCCAGAGCGCAGTCTGTTCAGCGCCTTCCAAGTTGCCTAGTCTTCTGTGTGCCCGGGGGGAGTCTCTCATCTGGTATCACCCATGGATTGAGGTGCTGGGTTTGGGCCTGCCACTTTTGGACTCTCGCTTGCTGGGGTGTTCCAGCGAGTGTCTCTGTAGATCTAAGAAAACTAAGTCTTGATTTAAGTCGTTGAAGTGCTGGCTGATACCCAAACAGGGGATGAGCTGGAGATGTCTCTGCCTTGGTCCTTTCTCTATTGGTTAAAGCAATGACAGCACATCTTTACTAGGGAAGTCTTTGGAGAGAATAAAAACGGGGTATTTGGGGAGAAATAAACTCGATTTGGATACCTTTATACTAGAAAACAAAAGCATTGTTATATAGTTCTGGTACAATCCAGTGTAAGGTTCGTCTTTTAGTGGGGCCAAACTTGACACTATGTGTGTGTGTTTTTGTGTGTGTTTTTCACATCAAAGCAGCTGTATGGAAGGGACCCTCTTTTCTCCATGCATTTTCTTGATCTAAAATGTCTTCCGGGAGAAAGAACTCTTGTCTGCTGGAGGCAAGTGTGAATTCCGTCTCTACCTATTCTTGGACTGCAACTCACAGCAGTCCTCCTGATCAAGCTACCTACCTACCTTTCTATTTCTCTCTAATTTATCTGTCTTATCTATCTGGGGGATTGCTGGGAGTTGCAGTCGAGGAATAGGAAATTGGAAATATGCAGGGATTGGGATGCTCTCAAAGAAATCCAAGGAGAAGAAAACTTGCAACTTGGAAGCAGTGCATTTGGATTATCTTCATCTCCTAAAGGGCCTGGTTTAGGGGATGCAGGGAGCCGTAGTCCAGAAGAGAGTGTGGATATGCTATTGTGTGTTTTGTATCCCAGGGGGAGTTGTTTTGCGCATGTGCTGTAGCATCTTTTTGCTTTTCTTTTGGCTTTTTGAGTCCCTTCCATTGTGTTTTTCAGTGTTTTTATGAGTGATGATTACTCGTTGGCCTGATAGGTGTATTGTTTCCAAATTTCATGTCAATTCATCCAGTGGTTTTTGAGTTATGTGCGTCCCACAAATGAACATTACATTTTTATTTATATAGATTTATTTGTTCTATTTAAAAGTATTCTTAGCTCATAGTATGTTTTATACACTCACTCACTCACCCTTTCAGTCTCAAGGCTATGTAAACGATAGTATTTTACTGTTCCAAAGTATCCTTCGATGCCAGGTGAATATGCGCTGCCTCCCAAAGCGAAATATCCAGACGTGTCGTTGTAATAAAAATCCTCTCTAAAACTAAAAAAGGAGAAATGTAAATAGTTTGAAAATTGATCTATACAGTTCCACATTATTTATGCAATGGTAGTCTTAAAGAATACGTACTTAAAAACCACATTGTCTCTTAATAACATTGAAATAAAGAGACGGATCATGGAATGGGATTCATCCAAAAAGAAATATTACAGATCTGTAAGAAATTTGAGCTAAGGGAGGTTGTTCTTACTGAAATGCTTCATGCTGATGAATTTTCAGGTTTGTTCCAACACTGCGTATTTCGATCTGAAAAGAAAAACATTTAGTATTAGTTCTGACTTAGTGACACTAAAAATCATAACAATTATCTACACTTTGCTTGGTGTCAAAGCTGATCCTTGAGAAGAACCCGTGAAGAACTCAATAACACTCTTTGTGGATAATTATTGATACTACAATTTAACAAATGGATCTCAAATGTACTTTTTGAAGTAAATTCTAAGGTATATTCAGATCAGAGCTTGAAAATGTTTATTTGCATTAAACCTCCCCAATTCCCCAATATGGTCACTATGCTGTGAGGAGAGTGGAATTCTAGACATCATAAAAATTAACTTTCCCTAGCTCTGATTTAGGCGTTTATGAGTTGAGAAAGACAAACTGCAATTATAGAAGGACAGGAGCATCTTTGCTTAGAAACAACACGTGACCTTGTTCTTTCTCTTCTGCTCTCCCAGTGAGAGGCTATTGGGAGGTGTTTATTTTATGAAAGGTAGTCTTTAATAGATTGTATTTATAAAAGTTGCTGTCCACTGGGAGAGCAATGGGAAAGGAAAGAGATCATGAAATGTCCAAGGATGTTGTTGGCCTGCTGTAATTGGGATTTATCTGTCTTGCGTGATGAGATCCTTAAGAGTTATACTATTTAGAGCCAGATAGTGGGACCAGGTCATGGGCTCATGGGCCTTGCCCCTCTAGGTAGAAGTAAACAAATGAATAAGGAACTTTTGCATTTGTTTGAATGTAAAAAATAATTCAGATCCCTCTATTGGCTTCTTTTTACCATTATCAACATACTACATGGTGAACAAGTCATGCCAAGATGTAATGCCACCCATTGCTCAGTAAGCATCCCCAACACCTGGATGTTGTAGGTTTTTCGGGCTGTATGGCCATGTTCTAGAAACATTCTCTCCTGATGTTTCACCTGCATCTATGGCAAACATCTTCAGAGGTGGTGAGGTCCTCACAACCTCTGAAGATGCCTGCCATAGATGCAGGTGAAACATCAGGAGAAAATGCTTCTAGGACATGGCTTTACAGCCCAAAAAAACCTAAAACAACCGAGTGATTCCAGCCATGAAAGCCTTCGACAAAAGATCCCCAACATTACTAGAGAATCCAATAGATATATGTTGCTCCAATTAAAATAATGTAGGAATCCCTGCACCTATGTTGTTGTTCATTCGTTCAGTCGTCTCCGACTCTTCGTGACCTCATGGACCAGCCCACGCCAGAGCTCCCTGTCGGCCGTTACCACCCCCAGCTCCTCAAGGTCAGTCCAGTCACTTCAAGGATGCCATCCATCCATCTTGCCCTTGGGCGGCCCCTCTTCCTTTTGCCTTCCACTTTCCCCAGCATCATTCTCTTCTCTAGGCTTTGCTGTCTCCTCATGATGTGGCCAAAGTACTTCAACTTTGTCTCTAGTATTTTCCCTCCAATGAGCAGTCGGGCTTTATTTCCTGGAGGATGGACTGGTTGGATCTTCTCGCAGTCCAAGGCACTCTCAGCACTTTCCTCCAACACCACAGTTCAAAAGCATCGATCTTCCTTTGCTCTGCCTTCCCTAAGGTCCAGCTCTCACATCCGTAGGTGACTACAGGGAATACCATGGCTTTGACTAGGCGTATCTTTGTTGTCAGTCTGATGTCTCTACTCTTCACTATTTTATCGAGACTGGACATTGCTCTCCTCCCAAGAAGTAAGCGTCTTCTGATTTCCTGGCTACAGTCTGCATCTGCAGTAATCTTTGCCCCTAGAAATACAAAGTCTGTCACGGCCTCCACGGTTTCTCCTTCTATTTTCCAGTTGTCAATCATTCTTGTTACCATAATCTTGGTTTTTTTGACGTTTAGCTGCAACCCGGCTTTTGCGCTTTCTTCTTTCACCTTGATTAGAAGGCTCCTCAGCTCCTCCTCGCTTTCGGCCATCAGGGTGGTGTCATCTGCATATCTATATATGCACCTATACCAGTCCCTGCACCTATACCAGTCACTATTTAATGTATGGAAGCAGGAACTGCTTTTCTAGTCCAGTACATAGATATATTAAAAAGATAAATTAAGGGAAGTAAAAATATATAAATTGAAGCAGGAAGACATTCATTTTCTTCTTCTTTTTTATCTTTCAAGTAATCAAGAGGACAGGGACAGACAAACTTAGGGCCATATAAACTGTAGAATGAATACAACTTGACACCACGTTAACTGACACGATTCAGTGCTCTGGAATCATGGAAGTTGTTGTTTGGTGAGGCTCCGGCACTATTTGGAAGAGAAGCCAAAATATCCTGTAAAATACATCTCCCATGACTCCATAGCTTTTAAACCACAGCAGCTAAAGTGCTGCCAAACTGCATTATTTCTATAGTGTAGATGCACTTCAAAACCTACAACCTCATCAGACAGGCTACTTGGCCAGTCATATGCAGCTTGTTCTTCCCTTTCAGCATGAAGCCCATTACATGATGCATGTGTACTTCTGTTCTGGGCTCCATCCAGAAAGAGGAGAGTAAGCAGCATATGCCACCATGGCAACAACACAGGAGCCTTCCTGTGTTGTCTTACTAGCAATGGGGGGAAGCCAGGCAGTGACGCTTCCCCCCATAGGATGGAGGTCAAAGTAAATTGTGTGGGGTGTGGAGCAATGAGTTCTTCATGCCCCCCCACCCCCAGTCAGGAGCCCATGGATCTTCCACAATGTGAAGCGAATCAATGGGCCTTTGTGATGAGGTCCTAGTCGCTCTGATAGAATATTGGAGAGAAATATCTCATAAGTTCTTACTATATATTCTCCTCAAATTTAACTATGAGGATGTTCTCTATACCTGTTCTCCATTAACGGAGAGATCAAGCCGAAGCCACTGCTTAAGAGGAAGGCTGAACGTAGTTTTCACAGCAGTGTCTTCTCCATTGGTGAGGTGCATCTGGATGTGAACACAACCTGAAATGTAACCCCGAACAATGACCCAGTCTGTTAAGTGAAGGCATTCAATTTAGTGCAGATTGATATAGTCTTCTCAACTATTTAGGAGCCAGAGGTCATTGTGGATTTTACTTTGAAAACACGGTGGGAAGCGTCTGTTAACCCAAGGGTCAAATTCCATTTTAAAGTTTTCAAAGGCCACGTTACAATTGTAACTGCAAGCAAAGATGAGATAAAAAATACAAGCATATTTTAGATTAGCTTTTCCTGACACTAACCAAGCTTAAAACAGGTATTTCAACCTGTTAGAACCTAATAAAGGCCAGATTTAGTTCCAGAGTTTGAGTTAGCTCAATCCTGCTTTAAATATTCACAGAAACACCTTTGTGAGGTTGCTAGTAAGGTGTATACAGTGGGGTCACATCTAAAACTGTTCAGCCATTCCATCCTTTCCCCTCATGTATGAAATGGCCCAAAGGCGGTGATGTATTCTCCTGCTAAAGCAATCTAAAAGAATGCTTCTCAAAGGGCATACCTTTATCAGTATGAACAGTCATGTCTTTCCCTAGATAACTCAAGGAATTCTAGTTGGAAGAAAGTCTGTTAAAGACCTGTGGCTGCCGAGGTTGCCAGGAAAAAGAGCACCAAATTGGATCTTATATTCATGGCAAGGGGAAGTCATGCTTCTCCATCAGCTCACCAGCCTCAGCCTGATAGACAGGCAGCAGCTTTCCAACTAAAGCCTCATTCAAAGGCCTTCAAAATGTCCAAAAGAATGTCCAAATGTCCCAATTTCACAGGGATAATAGTCCCAGTTAGTCCTCTGTCATCCCACGTTTATGCTGCTTCTAAAACAGTGGTTCCCAACCTTTTTTTGACCAGGGACCATTTTGACCAGGGACCACTCTCCAACATTAGTACCAAAAGGGTTATGAATCAGTTTTTGGTCAACTTTAGATTTGGTTTGGTTATTTAGAGTGCTGATTCAGAAAAATGCATTGGATAGACAACATCAGCTCTAGTTTCTGATACAGAACATAATCCATTCAGTAGTCGCCATCTGCTCAGCCACAGAAAACTGTATTTAATAATCTAGTGCTGATGTAGTCTATTCAATGCAATTTTCTGAATCAGCAACCCAAATAGCCCCATGAAGAGGCCTAAAAATATTTTTTTTTTTGGTTGGGCTGAGTTATTATCCTTAGTAGTAACAGTGAGGCTACAGACCATATTTTAGTTCTTGCAGACCACTGGTGGTCCACGGACCACGTGTTGGGAACCACTGTTCTAAAATGTCCCATTTTCTTTCTCCTCCTCCCTATTTTTTCTTCATCTTAATAATAAAATGAGTTCAAAGTTCGAAAGCAGTTTGCACTCAATCAGCTCCTGAAGATGGAAGGGAGATTAGGAGGCAGAATCGTCCCCTTCCCTATAGACTCAGGATAAAGCAAACTACTACATTTTCTCCTAGTTTGTCTGGTCTTCCTTATTAATAACATTGGCTATCCTGAGCGCACTCTGATGTTACTTTGGCCATCTTTGAAATGCTGGTGGTTGTGAGATTCCCACCACAATCAGTGATGATTTTGCTCATTGGATTATGTGGTTTGAACTATTACTTTCAGTACTAATAAACTAATGTTGACTCAGCCTCCTGCATCTCCAAAATGGAGGGACGTTATGGTCCTCACACTTTATATTAGCTGTAGTGGACAATACAGTAGGGTGGGAATTTTTTAAAAAAAGTCCTTTATATTTCATTTATTTTGTTAGGATTCCTTATTCCCAGAATAAGGAATCCTAAGCAATATGTCCTAAATGCACTTTACGAGAGACTTAGAGTTGCCTGCATGCCCAACTATCCCAAAAAATATCCCTCCTATTTCCCTTGGACATGCCTAGCATTTTTAAATTTTTAATTCTTATATTTGGCCCTGCCACAGGTTTTTAAATGCATTGTGTTATTATTGTATTGTTATTATTGTAAATTTTTTTTTGCTTTTATGAGTTATTTATTGTTGTTTTGTTGTTATGTTTTATGATGTGTTTGGGCTCGGCCTCTTGTAAGCCACGCCGAGTCCTGCGGGAGATGGTAGCAGGGTATAAATAAAGGTTTATTGTTGTTGTTGTTGTTGTTATTGTTGTTGTTGTTTCTTGGTCTGCCACAATCACACACCCTCCTTGAGTTGTCCACTTGACCGCTCTTTTTAGGGAGTTAGGCTGACCTTTGAAACTATTTTGTGAATTAAATTTATTTATTTCGAGTATTTTTACCCCCTCCCCCCTTCTCAACCCCTTAGGGGGGGACGGGACTCAGGGTGGCTTCCAGCCAGCACACATTCAATGCCTACAATTAAACCCAATAAAATACACAATAAAACAGTAATTATAAATCATTAAAACACTGAGTTAATCTACTAGAAAAGAAGCCAGCCTGGTGACCGTCATAAATGATACTGCAAGGGAAGGATAGTGGGATCTGAGCGTTCTTACTTACCTTCATCATTTAGAAACACAGCTGGGCTACCATACATTTCTTTCGAATCAATGAAATAGAGAATTCCACATAAGGGTTTTTTGCAGTAGTGGAGTAAATAAAGCCAGACTGAAACAGTAAAGCTGTAGAAGCACAAAAGATGGATGAGAAAGTAATGGTGGACTACTGAGACAACTTTAACATAAATGTTTGTGGTCAGATGTGTATTCTGTTGCAGATGGGGGCAGGGGTCTCCTTGTCCCTTTATTTTCCACTCTTAATACCAAGTCTTAGCCTGATAATGATGCTCTCCTTTTCAGATAAATGGTTTGATGACAGGTGAAGGGGTGGAATGAATCCCACAGTGACTGGATTCTTAATTATGGGCATGGTAGGGAAGAGATAAACCAGTTCGTTCCGCACATCAGAATGCATTGCAGACAGGCAAGTCATTCGCAAAGCAACTATTCAGGCAGGCAGGCTACACAGCTGTTGCAAACTTGCCACAGAGTAAATAAAGGTGCAGCTTGTGCAGATTGCAGAAAAGCAAGATTGTGGGTAAAAGTTTCTCCTCTCTGTTCCAGGAAAGTAAATTTCTGTTGGCTTTCAGAATGCAGAATTTGATGGATAGGATGGCAGGGGTTCTTTTGAAGTATTTCCATGATGCACTAAACTACTTCAAATCCCATATTTCTGTTAATTGCAAATGCTGAGTCTGTGAGAACTGAATGCTTGCCGTGGGTCCATCTATTTACTACCTTGCCCTTATAATGAAGTTAAGCAACTGTGGCCTTCTAAGGATGTTGGACCAGCAAGGAAAATAAATAATGACGGATTTGCAATGTAACAAAATTGAGAGGGCTACAGTTATCCACGTCTATTCTGTAGCCTATCACAAGATTTCTTGGCAAGATTTCTTCAGAAAAGGTTTGCTTTCCTCTGAGGCTTTTTTTTCCCCGAGTCAGGAGCAACTTATTTATTTATTTACTGCATTTGTATACTGCCTTTCTCAGCCAGAGGCGACTTGAGAAACTGCAAGTTGCTTCTGGTGTTAGAGAATTGGCGAATGCAGTGGTTCTCAACCTTCCTAATGCTGCGACCCCTTAGTACAGTTCCTCATGTTGTGGTGACCCCCAACCATAACGTTATTTTCGTTGCTACTTCATAACTGTAATTTTGCTACTGTTAAAATAGTCATAATGTAAATATGCAGGATGTATTTTCATTAACTGGACCAAATTTAGCACAAATACCCGATACGCCCAAAATTTGAATACTGGTGAGATTGGGGGTGATTGATTTTGTCATTTGGTAATGCTGGAGTTGCTGGGATTTATAGTTCACCTTAAATCAAAGAGCCTTCTGAACTCCATCAATGATGGAATCGAATCAAACATGGCACACAGAATTCCCATGACCATAAGAAAATACTGGGAAGGTCTGGTGGATACTGACCTTGAGTTTTTGGAGTTATAGTTCACCTATATCCAGAGAACACTGTGGACTCAAGCAATGATGGATCTGGATCAAACTTGGCACAAATATTCAATATGCCCAAATGTGAACACTGGTAGAGTTTGGAGAAAATAGACCTTGCCATTTGGGCATTGTAGTTGTTGGGATTTTTAGTTCACCCACAATGAAATAGCATTCTGAACCCCACCAACGATAGAATTGGACCAAACTTTTCACACAGAACTCCCATGACCAACAGAAAATACTATGTTTTCTGATGGTCTTTGGTCACCCCTCTGACACCCCCTCGTGACCCCCACAGGGGTCCCGACCCCCAGGTTGAGAAACACTGGTTTAGTGTTTACACCTTACTTTATTTTTCTGGTTATTTAATATTTAATGTTTATTTTACTTAAGTGATATTTGTCTTTACTGTTCTAATGTAGCACAAATCCTATGTAAAATCGTACTATGTATTTTTGACATTAATATTGAAATCTGAAATATATACAGAAAGTCTGGACATTGCCCAGGGGACGTCCAGATTTATTACCATCCTGTGGGAGGCTTCTCTCATGTCCCTGCATGGGAAGCCAGAACTGACAGAAAGGAGCTCACTCCACTCCTTGGATTCGAACCGCCGACCTTTTGGTCAGCAGTCCTGCCAGCACAAGGGTTTAACCCATTGTGCCACTGGCAGCTCCTTCCTCTGAGGCTGAAAGAGTGCGACTTGCCAAGAAAACTTTATGACAGGGTTGTCAGAGATCAGATAATCAGAGCCACCAAAATGGAAAAGACCAATTAGTTAATTGCAATTAATTGTACGGAAACCCCTATCTCATGAATACTGTAGGCTAGACAAACAGAATGTACTGTAATCTAGTGAATGCAACGTGTTCTGAACATGGAGAGACTGCATGCTATGGTCCTGTCCAATAAGCTGCACACTGTGTTCCTATCCCATTTCAAATCATTGAAATATATTACTTTTGTACTCAAGACAGCCCTGGACCATTCCATGTGCAATTTGTTACTAGAACACTAGAACAGATTACTGTGAGTATGTATATATAGATGAAATCCTCATGTGCACCACATATGGCAAATGGAAGAGAGAATTTTTTTTATCAAACTTTCTACAAATCAGAAAATAAAAGAAAGGCAAACCAAAAATATCCAAATATCTGATATTCTTTGAACTTTTCAAGATTTAACCAGAATTGGTTAGGCATTTTAGAATACCATTAGACTAGTCTCACCTTCATGCTGCATTCCCCATTTATAACACACTCTTCCAAACATTCCTTTGTGGTTATCTTGGATGTGTTTGCAAGTCTATAAATGGGGCTGGATCTACACTGCCCCATATCCCAGGATATGATCTCAGATGATCATCTTTGAACTGGAATGAGTCTACACTGCCAGATAATCTGGGATAAGCAGATAACCTGGGATCAGAGTTGTATGATACAGGGCAGTGTAGATCCAGCCTGAGTAACTCTATGTTCTACAGATAATCACAACCAGGGATATGTATACAGGGTTTCCAAAGGAGGTGAGAAAGAACAATGATATGCGTGGTTCAGGCATAATGATTAACAGACTTTCGTAATATTAAATTAAGAAACAATAAAAACCTTTAGTAGAAATTAAATGAATAACCACAAGTTCTACCAGAGCTAATTGCGGGAATGTAATGTGCAAACGTCACAAAGGAATTAATGAGAAAAATTCTCAGGGAAGCCATTGTGTAAGATTTGTGTTCTTTACATTTGCAAGTTTCTCTGAGATAGACTGTAACTGATAAACATAAAGTCAGAAAAAAGCACCGATGGAAGGGAAATACTTTATGCTTTTAAAAAAAACCCAAACACAATGGTTTGCAAATTTGCTTACTTTGGGTAGCTGATTTGTCTCTTTCTGATCATTTCAAGCTCTCTGTTCTTAAATTTCTGAAACTTCTTCACCAACCCTGCCCTCTCTCCACTGGATGCGTATGGAAAGTTAAGGATCTCTACTGCATCTGTAAAATGTCAGCATTTTCAAATGGGTCAGGAACTGAAAACAGCCACACACTTGCAAACAACCATGTACAACTCTTCTGTTTGTTCACAGATGATCGATTAATTGATAATACAGGACGTTTCTAATTTTTCAAATACTATTTTGTTCATTCCACAGTACCAAAACATTTCCATCGCTGATAAGTTTCCATAAAACCAGAAAGGATTACATAGCCAAGTGATTCTCAACCTTTTGGGTCCCCAGATGTTTTGGCTTTCAATTTCCAGAAATCCAAACAGCTGGTAAACTGGCTGGGATTTCTGGGAATTGTAGGTCAAGACACCTGGGGACCCACAGGATGAGAATCACGGACATAGCCCGGCCATTTTTTTCTCTGTGTCTTGGTTTTTAGGTCTGTTCTTGTAGTTATTTGGGAGCACTGATTCAGAAAATTGCATTGGATAGACTGCATCAGCTCAAGTTTCTTAGTTATGGTTATCATGGATGAGCAGACAAAGACTGGTATATGGCACATCTTCAAAACTAGAGCTGTTGGGGGAAAACTGGTGACATTTTTGGAATCAGTGGATCAAAAATACCCAGAGACATTTGAGGCACCAAAATGTATGTTGGCCAGTTTTATACGAGATAAATATGATTTTTTTTTTGTTTCTACTACTCTGATCCTCCGCATATTTACTCAAAACAAAGCCCCATTGATAGGCCCAAGGAAAGAGGCTAGAAATGAAATCTTGGGTGGTGGTTTTTCAAAGGACAAACCAACATCTAGATCTTATGAATCACGTTTCTAGTTATCATGAACCCTGGAATGTGGGAGGGGAGATCAGGAAAATTAGACTACTAGGATTCTTATGCAGTTGAGTCTCCTCAGATAAGACTAATCAGAAATGTTCTAAATGATGAAACACACACACACACACTACTATTACGGCAGCTATTCTAGTTGACACCCTCAAGAACTCAGTCTATCAGGTATGCAATCAAGTGTTACATTTTCCTCTTCTTTATTTGATATAGTAATTATATTAAAATTGTTTTATTTACTCCCATTTTGTAATATTTTATTTATTTATTTATTTTGGTATTTCTTCCAAGATTATCAGATAGCTCCTGCTTCAACTGGATGTTGTCATTATCATTTTAATGCAACACAATGTTTTTAATTGCTTTATACAAAAAAATACTAGCAAGTGGAATGAATGGACTGTAGAGCCTTCCCTGTCCTTTGGTCCCAAGGTCCATCACATTGCATGTAAACACTCCAGTATTAACATTTACCATGTAGGATAATAATAATAATAATAATAATAACAACAACAACAATAACAACAATTTCTGTGCAAGGAAGCTGATTAAACCACTGATCATATCCTCAACTGGAATAGCTGCCGTAATAGTAGTGTGTGTGTGTGTTTCATCAGCTGCTGCAAGAAAATCGCACAAACGGACTACAAACAGAGGCACAACTCTGTGGTCCAAATGATTCATTGGAACATATGTCACAAGTACCACCTGCCAGCAGTAAAGAACTGGTGGAATCATAAACCTGCAAAGGTAGTAGAAAATGAACACGCAAAAATACTGTGGGACTTTCAAATCCAGCATATAGTCTTGGAACATAATACGCCAGACATCACGATTGTGGAAAAGAAAAAAGTTTGGATTATTGATGTCGCCATACTAGGTGACAGTCACATCGAGAAAAAACAATAGGAAAAACTCAGCCATTATCAGGACCTCAAAATCGAACTGCAAAAGCTCTGGCATAAACCAGTACAGATGGTCCCAGTGGCCATTGGGACCTGTGCCAAAAGATCTCAGCCAGCATTTGGAAACCATAGACATTGACAAAATCATGATCTGTCAATTGCAAAAGGCCACCAGGCTTAACAGTCTACATTCCAAATGTCAATCAGGCCCAGATTTTACATGATCCCCTTTGGATGGGCATCTCATTTTTTTGCAAATTCACACAATGTCTTGTTTTAACAGATTTGTATCTTGCTTCCAAGAGGAAAATACATACCAGTCTCATGAAGGCACCGAGGTATTCTGTTTGCTTGCAGTCTCCAGGTATACTGCAAGCTCCATTTCAAGCACACTCTGTGATCTTTGTGTGGGCGTTCAAACGGTGGAACTATTTCTAGCAAAGTATAGTCTTTTGCAATTGCCTGCTGGTATCCTTCCTCTTCTTTCGCACGGTGGACTCTTGCTTGCTTGTGACTAATCCATGCATAAAGTATCACTGTGTGTACGATTAAAGAATGTTTGATCACAAAATCATCTCTGAAAACCATACTGCTTGGGAATGTCAAGCTCACTGTTTGATTCCAAGTGGTGTGGAGGTGATTGTTGTTCTCCCAGCTTTTCTTATACACCGAAATAGCAGTTCTGAATTCCAATGAAGCTATGGCTTCTATGGTCACAATGCAAGGTTTTGAACATAAATAAGTGACTGAAATTTCAGTATCATTGCGGACTCTTTTGTCCAAAACATTGAGGTGAATGAAATCCTCATAAAACACACTATCTTCAGCCTGTAGAACGACAGGTGTGGTCAGTAATGTTTTCTTCCCCCAAGATGGTTCATATTTCTAAGGAAGACAAAAATGTACATATATGTCAGTGCTTCTTTAATATTAGAGGACAACTGATAAAAACATTAAGTTTAATTCATATTGTTAAGAGTTTCCTCCCTTTTACATGGTTGAAAACCAAATTATTATTTTGTGTAGTATCATACACTCCAACCATGCTGATTTGTCAGTCCCGATTAATTCATTATCACCCCAGTTTTCATATGAGAAATATTAGAGGGTATAAATTGTAATGGCAGCTAATGGTTCTGAGTGTACTCCAGATTTAAGTCTAAATTTTAAAGGCATGTTCCAAGATATCGAACCTATTTGAGTGATAGTACACTTCCTAGAAATGTGTCCCTTCTTCTTTTGGATACATCCATGTGGCACTTTCCTTTAGCCTAGGTTTGACTTTGAGCTGCAATATTTATTTAGTATCCTTGTCTCTCACACAGTAATAAAATTCTCAAGTCATCTGTCTAGGGGATGCTTTGATTGTGTTTTTCATGCATGGCAGAAGGGGATTGGAGTGGATGGACCCTGGAGTCTCTGCTATTACTACTACTACCACCACTACTAAAAAGTCTGGGTGGTCATCTGTCTGGGGTGCTTTGATTGTGCTTTTCCTGCATGGCAGAAAGGAGTTGAATTGGGTAGCCCCTGGGGTTTCCGCTATTATTATTGTTGCTATAATTACAAGCCCGCAATGAGTTAAACCCTTGTGCTGGCAGGACTGCTGACCAAAAGATCAGTGGTTTAAATCCAGAAAGTGGGTGAGCTCCTGTTTGTCAGCTCCAGCTTCTCATGAGGGGACATGAGAGAAGCCTCCCACAGGATGGTAAAACATCTGAGCGTCTCCTGGGCAACATCCTTGCAGACGGCCAATTATCTCACACCAGTTTCTCAAGTCGCTCCAGATACATACATACATACATACCGTATATTCCGGCATATAAGACGACTGGGCGTATAAGACGACCCCCAACTTTTCCAGTTAAAATATAGAGTTAAGACGACTCCCATGCATAAGACTACACCCGCATATAAGACGACCCCTAACTTTTGAGAAGATTTTCTTGGGTTAAAAAGTAGTCTTATACGCCAGAATATACTGTACATACATACATATATATATATATATTCAATATTATTACAAGTGGCCATCTATTGGGACTGCTTTGATAGGGCTGCATGGCAGAAGGGGGTTGGACTGTATGGCCCTGAGGGTTTCTGCTATTATTATTATTATTATTATTATTATTATTATTATTATTATTGCTCTTATTATTATTACCAAGTCTGGATGGCCATTTGTTGGGGGTGCTTTGACTTTGCTTTTCTTGCATGACAGAAGGGGGGGGGGGGTTGGACTAGATGGCCCATGCAATCTCCTTCAAGTCTAAGCAGTACATTGTGTCCAGATTTCATGTAGTTCTGTGTAAAGAACAAAAATGTTGGAGCCTCTTCAGTTTACCAGTGAAAATCAAGGAGGGGTATGAAGAGGTAAAGAAATCCAGTCTTAGGGCCCTTCCAGAGTGGTCCTATATCCCAGGATCTGATTCCAGGTTTTCTGTTTATCCCAGATTATCTGGCAGTGGGGACTTATATACTCCAGTTTAAAGTAGAAAACCTGAGATCAGATCCTGGGATATAGGGCCTGTCTGGAGGGGAGAAAACAGGTGACAAGAGAGAGGGAGAAGGTATATGCGAGCAATGGAGGGCCCTTCCACACAGCCCTATATCCCAGAATATCAAGGCATAAAATCCCACAATATCTGCTTTGAAGTGGGTTATCTAAGTCATAGAATCATAGACTTGGAAGAGACCCCAGTCCAACCTCCCTGCCAAAAAGAAGGAAAACTGCATTCAAAGCACCCCTGACAGATGCCCACCCAGCCTCTGTTTAAAGGCTTCCAAAGAAGGAGCCTCCACCACACTCCGGGGCAGAGAGTTTCACTGCTGAACGGCTCTCAGTCAGGAAGTTCTTCCTAATGTTCAGATAGAATCTCCTTTCTTGTAGTTTGAAGCCATTGTTCCGCGTCCTAGTCTACTAAAAGGTCTGGGTGGTCATCTGTCTGGGGTGCTTTGATTGTGCTTTTCCTGCATGGCAGAAAGGAGTTGGATTGGGTAGCCCTGGGGTTTCTGCTATTATTATTATTATTATTATTATTATTGACACAAAAGCACAGTATGTCACAGCAAACGAGATCTCTATGCTGGATTTCGTATCACAAAATCACAAGTCGAACACTTCCCAAGTGTCTAGGACTATGTGATGTATTTTCAAATGATGCGTGCAAATCCAAGTAAGGTGGCCTTTTGCAGTTGACAGATCGTGATTTTGTCGATGTTTATTGTTTCCAAATGCTGGCTGAAATCTTTTTGGCATGGCATCCAGTGTGCCGATGACCACTGGGACCACCTGTACTGGTTTATGCCAGAACCTTTGCAATTCGATTTTGAGGTCTTGATACTGGCTGAGTTTTTCCCGCTGTTTTTCCTCAATGCGACTGTCACCTGGTATGGCGACATCAATAATCCAGACTTTTTTATTCTCCACAATCGTGATATCTGGTGTGTTGTATTCCAAAACCTTTTCAGTCTGGATTCGAAAGTCCCACAGTATTTATGCATGTTTATTTTCCACAACCTTTGCGGGTTTAGGATCCCACCAATTCTTTGCTGGCATAAGTTCTAGTGAATCATTTGGGCCACAGAGTTGTGTCTTTGTTTGTAGTCCGTCTGTGCGATTTTCTTGCAACAGCTGGGGATATGATCCATGGTCAACTTCCTTGCACAGTCTGCATTTTGGGTCATCTGCTGATTTTTCGATCCTGGCCTTAATTGCATTGGTTCTGATAGCTTGCTCCTGGGCTGCAAGAATAAGGCCTTCTGTCTCCTTCTTCAGGGTTCCATTCATGAGCCATAACCAGGTCTTCTCCTTGTCAACTTTTCCTTCAATTTTGTCAAGGAACTGCCCATGCAATGCTTTGTTGTGCCAGCTGTCAGCTCTGGTTTGGAGTGCAGTTTTCTTGTACTGACTCTTTGTCTGCTGTGCTTTGAGAAGTTTCCAATTATTGACTTCAATTAAAGCAAGCTCTTGGCTTCCTTTGACATATTCTGCCAGGGAGTGTTTTTCTTCTTCGACTGCTTGTTTTACTTGTAAAAGTCCTCTGCCACCAGACTTTCTAGGCAGATAGAGCCGGATTGTTGTTGTTGTTGTTGTTGTTGTTCACACTCTTGTCCACACTCAGATAATGAAACTGAATCCAGGCAAGACAGAGGTACTCCTGGTTAGTCGCAAGGCCGAACAGGGTATAGGGTTACAGCCTGTGTTGGACGGGGTCGCACTCCCCCTGAAGACGCAGGTTTCGGCGGTGGCCAGGGGAGCATTTGCACAGTTAAAGCTTGTGCGCCAGCTGCCCCCATACCTTGGGAAGTCTGACTTGGCCACGGTAGTCCACGCTCTGGTTACATCCCGTTAGACTACTGCAACGCTCTCTACGTGGGGTTGCCTTTGAAGACGGCTCGGAAGCTCCAACTAGTCCAACGTCGGCAGCCATGTTACTAACAGGAGCGGAGCGCAGGGAGCATACAACTCCTCTGCTGCACCAGCTCCACTGGCTGCCGATTTGCTACCGGGCTCAATTCAAAGTGCTGGCGTTGGCCTATAAAGCCCTAAACGGTTCTGGCCCAAGCTACCTATCCGAACGTATCTCTGCCTATGAACCCACCAGGACTCTAAGATCTTCTGGGGAGGCCCTGCTCTCGATCCCGCCTGCATCACAGGCACGGCTGGCGGGGACGAGGGACAGGGCCTTTTCTGTGGTGGCCCCTCGGCTGTGGAACGCCCTTCCCATGGACATTAGATCAGCCCCTTCGTTAATGGTGTTTCGAAGAAAACTAAAAACCTGGCTGTTTGAACAGGCATTCGGATAAACAGTGCAATGAATACGATGAATATAGGAACGGAATTATGGATGACGAATTGGATCACGATTCTAGTTACGAGACGTTAATGTGTTGTTATTGATGTGTCATTCTGTATATTATGCTGTTAATGGTTTTTAAATTTTGTATGCTGTTGGATTGACTTTTGCTCTTGTTGTAAATCGCGTTGAGTCGCCTACAAGGCTGAGAAACTGCGGTATACAAGCAAAGTAAATAAATAAATAAAATAATGTCGGATTTTCTGCCTTGAGATTCTGGGATATGGGGCTGTATGGAAGGGCCCTAAATAATAGTGAAGGAATGGATGCGGCTTGTGGAAGGAATGTGAGCTCTGGGGCTTTGGGGCTCAGCCAAGTTCTTGGAAGCCCGTTTGGATGCTTCTGGTGGCAAGCAGGAAATGGCACCCGGACCCCATCCTGCTAAACACATGTAGGGTGGGCACCCCGAGAATATGAAGGGGGAAACCCCAGATGCGACTCACCAGCAGCAGCAAGAGCAGCAGCAGGCAACGTTTGGGGAGGGAGATGAAGCCCAGGTTGTGGCTGCTTCCAAAGCGCGCAGGGGAAGGCACAGGTGAGGGCGCCAAGCTCTCCATCGCGGTGCCCACCGCGTCTCCTCCCTGGAAATCCGGCCACGGAGGAGGAAGGAGATCCTGCTTCCTGGACATGCCTCCCAGGACGAGGAGGAGGAGGAGGAGAAGGAAGCAGGAAGGGCCGCCCAGACTAGGCAGGTGCAGCCACAGGCACCCGAAAGCACTCCCCGGCTCAGGATCTGTTTTTCTTGCGCCTCTGGCGCTTATTCTTGGAAAGGTGCCTTTCCAAAAGTTCAGCCAGTCCTACACCTGAAACATACCTTTCCTGCAGACTTGATGGTTTCTTTTTGAACCAGAATTCACCACCCAAGCTCTCTTCTTCCTCCCCTTGATCCCCTCCCGGCTGTGCCTATTTGTTCACCCTGAAAGGACAAGGAATTCATGCTTTCATTGCCATGGCTCTCTGGAAGCATGGCTTTGCAGTTTTGTAAAGCCATGTAAATATCTAATATGCAAGATGTATTTTCATTCACTGGACCAAATTTGGCACAAATACCCAATGCAACCACATGTAAATGCTATTGGGGTTGGGGGAGGATTGATTTTGTAATTTGGGAGTTGTAGTTGCTGGGATTTATAGTTCACCTATAATCAAAGAGCATTCTGAACTCCACCAGTGATGGATTTGAACATAATTTGCCACACAGAACTCCCATGCACACAGAACTCCCGTGACCAACAAAAAACACTGGAAGGGTTTGGTGGGTATTGACCTTGAGTTTGGAGTTGTAGTTCACCTACATACATCCAGAGAGCACTGTGGACTCAAACAATGATAGCTCTGGACCAAACTTGGCACAAATACTCAATATGCCCAAATGTGAACACTGGTGGAGCTTGGGGGAAATAGACCTTGACATTTGGGAGTTGTAGTTGCTGGGATTTATAGTTCATTACAAGCAAAGAACATTCTGAACTCCACCAACGATAGAATTGGCTCAAACTTCCCACATGGAATCCCTATGACCATCAGAAAATACTGTGTTTTCTTATGGTGTCTTTGGCGACCCCTCTGACACCCCTTCGCGCCCCCCTCAGGGGTCCCGACCCCCAGGTTGAGAAACACTGCTATAGATAGATCTATTTATTGAGTAGTCCACTGACCATATCAAAAATAAAAGACAAAAACAAAAGCACACAAATAGACACTCGTCACTATCCTAAAACTCCTGGCTGGCATCACTGGGTTGCTGTGAGTTTTCCAGGCTGTATGGCCATGTTCCAGAAGCATTCTCTCCTGACATTTCACCCACATCTATGGCAGGCATTCTCAGAGGTTGTGAGGTCTGTTGGAAACTAGGCAGGTGAAGTTTATATATCTGTATAACGATGCCCAGGATGGGAGTAAGTATTATTGTCTGCTTGAGGCAAGTGTGAATGTTGAATTGGCCAGCTTGATTAACATTGAATGGCCTTGTAGCTTCAAAGCCTGGCTGGTTGCTACCTGGAGGATCCTTTGTTGGGAGATGTTACTTGGACCCAACTTCTCCCTGTCTGGAATTCCCCTGGTTGTTTTTTTTTTTTGTTTTTTTTAGTGTTGCCCTTTATTTACTGTCCTGATTGTAGACGGCTTGCAGCCAGATTTTGTTCATTTTCATGGTTTTCTCCTTTCTGTTGACATGCTTGTGGATTTCAAAATCTACACTCAGACCCCTTCTACACTGCAATATAAAATCCAGATTAACTAATTTGAACTGGATTATATGGTAATGAAGACTCATACAATCCAGTTCAAATTAGTTGATCTGGATTTTATATGGCAGTGTAGAAGGGGCCTGAGTGTAGATTTTCCCCAGAAAGAAAATAAGACAGGTTGGCAATTGGGTCCCAGTTGGCTGTTCTAGCCCCGTAAACTGTGGAATACTGTCTGGACTGCAGTATTCTGCAGTCCAGACCTGGAAATAGTGGATTTATTGCGTGCCTTCCAAGAAGGCATGAAATAAATCCACTATCAAATTAATTCACTACAAACCAGTGCGTGAAACAATGGCTTCAAACTACAGGAAAGGAGATTCCATCTAAACATTAGGAAAAACTTCCTGACTGTGAGAGCTGTTCAGCAGTGGAACTCTCTGCCCCAGAGTGTTGTGGAGGCTCCTTCTTTGGAAGCTTTTAAACAGAGGCTGGATGGCCATCTGTCAGGGGTGCTTTGAATGTGATTTTCCTACTTCTTGGCAGGGGGTTAGATGGCCCATGAGGTTTCTTCCAAGTCAATCATTCTATGATTCAGTGATAAACATTCGACCTAATCCAACATGGCTCTTTCTCCAAAAATATTGTATAGAGTAGTGAGGAACAGCAATGAACAACAACAATGTAGAACAATGGTTCTCAACTTTCCTAATGACCCCTTAGTACAGTTCCTGATGTTGTGGTGACCCCAACCATAACATTGTTTTCGTTGCTACTTCATAACTGTAATTTTGATACCGTTGTGAATTGTAATGTAAATATTTGATATGCAGGATGTAGTTTTATTCAGTGGTCCAAATTTGGCACGAACACCCAATGCTCCCAGATTTGACTACTGGGGGGTTGATTTTGTCATTTGGGAGTTATAGTTGCTGGGGTTTATAGTTAACTTACAATCAAAGAGCATTCTGTACCCCACCAATGATGGAATTGAACCAAACTTGGCACACAGGTCTCTCACGATCAACAGAAAATACTTGAAGGGTTTGGTGGGCACTGACCTTGAGTTTGGGAGTTGTAGTTCACCTACATCCAGAGAGCACTGTGGACTCAAACAATGATGGATCTGGACCAAACGTGGCACGAATACTCAATATGCCCAAATGTGAACACTGGTGGAATTTGGGGAAAATAGACATTTGGGAGCTGTAGTTACTGGGATTTATAGTTCACCTCCACTCAATGATAGATCTGGACCAAACTTGGCACGAATACTCAATATGCCCAAATGTGAACACTGGTGGAATTTGGGGAAAATAGACATTTGGGAGTTGTAGTTGCTGGGATTTTAGTTCATCTACAATCAAAGAGATTTCAGAACCCCACCAATGATGGAATTGAACCAAACTTGACACACAGAACTTTCATGGCCAACAGAAAATACTTGAAGGGTTTGCTGGGATTTGTAGTTCACCTACATCCAGAGAGCACTGTGGACTGAAACAATGATGGATCTGGACCAAACTTGGCACGAATACTCAATATGCCCAAATGTGAACACTGGTGGAATTTGGGGAAAATAGACATTTGGGAGCTGTAGTTACAGTGTTTTCTGATGCTCTTTGGCGACCCCCCAGGGTTTTTTTATTTGTCGTGTCAGGACAACCAGTCAAATTATATTACATTTCTAACAGAACAAAGCAAACAAACAGACAAAATACAAAATTTGTAAGTTTGGTAATTGATTAAATGTCCTTTGACCAGTAGCTGGCCACTTGGAGTGCCTCTGGTGTTGCTGCAAGAAGGTCCTCCATTGTGCATGTGGCAGGGCTCAGGTTGCATTGCAATAGGTGGTCTGTGTTTTGCTCTTCTCCACACTTGCATGTCATGGATTCCACTTTGTAGCACCATTTCCGAAGGTTGGATTTGCATCTCGTGGTGCCAGAGCGCAGTGTGTTCAGCGCCTTCCAAGTCACCCAGTCCTCTGTGTGCCCAGGGGGGAGTCTCTCATTTAGTATCAGTCATTGGTTGAGGTTCTGGGTTTGAGCCTGCCACTTTTGGACTCTCGCTTGCTGAGGTGTTCCAGCGAGTGTCTCTGTAGATCTTAGAAAACTATTTCTTGATTTAAGTCGTTGCGTGCTGGCTGATACCCAAACGGGATGAGCTGGAGATGTCTCTGCCTTGGTCCTTTCAGCATCTAGCTGGAAGGGGGGGGGGGGCTTGAGGGGGTTCTCCCCCGAAATTCTCATGGTGGTTCTTGAAAAGGCCTTACTGGTGCATTATTTAAACTGTTATGTTTATTCATATCATGATCTGATCACCATACTCAATATATCCCATATGCATGGGGGTATTGGGGTAATGATACAAAAGGTTTGCTAGGGTAGACCCTCTTTCACTCAGACTCAGCCCCCCCGAAACCCCCCTGAAAAAAACTCAGCCCCCCCCCCCCGAATCGAAATCCTGGCTACGGGCCTGCTTGGTCCTTTCACTATTGGCTGCTACTTCCCGGCGGATGTCAGGTGGTGCAATACCGGCTAAGCAGTGTAATTTCTCCAGTGGTGTAGGGTGCAGACACCCCGTGATAATGCGGCATGTCTCATTCAGAGCCAGATCCACTGTTTTAGTGTGGTGAGATGTGTTCCACACTGGGCATGCATACTTAGCAGCAGAGTAGCACAGCGCAAGGGCAGATGTCTTCACTGTATCTGGTTGTGATCCCCAGGTTGTGCCAGTCAGCTTTCGTATGATATTGTTTCTAGCACCCACTTTTTGCTTGATGTTCAGGCAGTGCTTCTTGTAGGTCAGAGCACGGTCCAGAGTGACTCCCAGGTATTTGGGTGCGCTGCAATGCTCCAGTGGGATTCCTCCAGTGGGAAACCCCCCAGGGTGAGAAACACTGATGGAGAAGATGTTGTCAGCTAAACAGATTCACTTCCTCATTTGGGCAAGATGTTGCCCAAATGAGGAAGTGAATCTGTTTAGCTGACAAGGAAGCATGGGTTGTTCCCCCTTGCGGCCACGAGGGGGCGTTGCAGGGAGGCGCTTCCCGATTGTGCTTACTTACATCCAAACTCTTCCTGTCCCGGAAGCGGAAAGAAGGCTCCTGTGGAGTGGCGCGGGGCTCTTTGCAGAAGCCTGCTCTTGCGTGGATGGCGCGCCTGCCTCGCACCCTCCTGGTCTTCGGGGGCTTCGTGGGCCTGGTGGGGGCGGCCCTGTACCCCATCTACTTCCGGCCCCTGATGCACCTGGAGGACTACAGTAAGTCCTCTCCTCTCCCTGACCTGATCCTGCCTTAGGCCAAGCTCCCCTAGGATGCTACAGAGCGTCTGCTTTGGACGTCCCTTCCCAGGAGCCTCAGCCAGCCTGGATGATGGGAGCTGCAGTCCAAAACATCAGGAAGGTCAAGGTTTAGGAAACACTGAGCCAGGCCAGCTTCCAGGCTTCAGGCCCACAAAGGAAGGAAGGGCGAGTGAGCATGCCCATGTGATCAGCAATGTCATCCTATGGGTTTTAGGTAAAGGTTTTTCCCTGACATTAAGTCCAGTCATAGAATCATAGAATCAAAGAGTTGGAAGAGACCTCATGGGCCATCCAGTCCAACCCCCTGCCAAGAAGCAGGAATATTGCATTCAAATCACCCCTTACAGATGGCCATCCAGCCTCTGTTTAAAAGCTTCCAAAGAAGGAGCCTCCACCACACTCCGGGGCAGAGAGTTCCACTGCTGAACGGCTCTCACAGTCAGGAAGTTCTTCCTCATGTTCAGATGGAATCTCCTCTCTTGTAGTTTGAAGCCGTTGTTCCGCGTCCTAGTCTCCAGGGAAGCAGAAAACAAGCTTGCTCCCTCCTCCCTGGGGCTTCCTCTCACATATTTATACATGGCTATCATATCCCCTCTCAGCCTTCTCTTCTTCAGGCTAAACATGCCCAGCTCCTTAAGCCGCTCCTCATAGGGCTTGTTCTCCAGACCCTTGATCATTTTAGTCGCCCTCCTCTGGACACATTCCAGCTTGTCAATATCTCTCTTGAATTGTGGTGCCCAGAATTGGACACAATATTCCAGGTGTGGTCTAACCAAAGCAGAATAGAGGGGTAGCATTACTCCCTTAGATCTAGACACTATGCTCCTATTGATGCAGGCCAAAATCCCATTGGCTTTTTTTGCCGCCACATCACATTGTTGGCTCATGTTTAACTTGTTGTCCACGAGGACTCCAAGATCTTTTTCACACGTACTGCTCTCGAGCCAGGCATTGTCCCCCATTCTGTATCTTTGCATTCGTTTTTTTCTGCCAAAGTGGAGTATCTTGCATTTGTCACTGTTGAACTTCATTTTGTTAGTTTTGGCCCATCTCTCTAATCTGTCAAGATCGTTTTGAATTCTGCTCCTGTCCTCTGGATTATTGGCTATCCCTCCCAATTTGGTGTCGTCTGCAAACTTGATGATCATGCCTTCTAGCCCTTCATCTAAGTCATTAATAAAGATGTTGAACAGGATCGGGCCAAAACATCAGGAAGGTCAAGGCTTAGGAAACACTGAGCCAGCCCAGCTTCCAGGCTTCAGGCCCACAAAGGAAGGAAGGGCGAGTGAGCATGCCCATGTGATCAGCAATGTCATCCTGTGGGTTTTAGGTAAAGGTTTTTCCCAACATTAAGTCCAGTCGAGTCCAACTCTGTGGGTTGGTTCTCATCTCCATTTCTAAGCTGAAGAGCTGGCGTTGTCCATAGACAACTCCAAAGTCACGTGGCCAGCATGACTGCATGGAGTGCCGTTACCTTTCCGTTATAGCAATACCTATTGATCTACTCACATTTACATGTTTTCGAACTGCTAGGTTGGCAAAAGCTGGGGCTAGCAGCAGGAGCTCATGCCACTCCCCGGATTTGAACCTGCGATCTTTCGGTCATATAGTGTTTGAGTATAGTAAAATGTGAATTAGTAGAACCCTATAAGGTTCCTGCCCAGTTTACCTATCCCAACATATCCTCCCCTATAATAAATAATAATAAATAATAATAAACTTTATTTATACCCCACCACCATCTCCCTGATGGGGAATCGGAGCAGCTTACATGAGGCCAGGCCCGAACAGCAATTACAATAAAGAAAACCAAGACACAACCGAAAACGCGAACAATAACATCATAATTACATAAAGCATGTGGATACATAACAATATAAAAAAATTACAATAGACACAGGCACAGTGACAATGGGCGGGCTACATGTAATGATTAAAAGACAGATTAAAACTAATTAAAAACTCAGATGAGAACCATCAAGGCTGTTCAGATCTTCTGGAGGAGGCCTGCTCGCAATCGCATCTGGTGGGGATGAGAGACAGGGCCTTTTCTGTGGTGGCCCCCCGGCTATGGGACTCTCTCCCAATTGAAATCAGATCTGTCCCCTCCCTCCTGACCTTCAGGAAGCTAGTGAAATCCTGGCCATGGAACAAGGCATTTCCAGAATGATGGCGGAGACTGGCAATTGACTAAAGTCATCAACCACATATGCTGACCTAGTGGGATGATTTTATCTTGACAAACTGGCTTTTATATATTTAAGTCTATATGTATTTTAATTTATTGTTGATGTACGATGTTTTAGATTGTATTGTTAGCATTTAATCCTTATTGTTAGCCAGTCTGAGTCCCTCTCCAGAGGTAGAGAAGATCAGGATACACAAGTTTTAAATAATAATAATAATAATAATAATAATAATAATAATAATAATAGAAGCTCAGCTATAATGTGTATTGCTGATCTGAAAAGATACCATCAAATTTAAGGCAGCCAATGAACAATACTGGGGTTCTTTTTACATATACTAATCCTTCCTTCATAAAAAGGATACCTTACCCACTCACCCACCAATGATTTTGGAGAGAATTATCATGACAACATTAGGACTAATAATCAAAATTATTTTAGTATAGAATAATTTTTTAAAAAGAAAGTGATGTAGAAGGTGGTTGGCCCATTGGAACTGAAGGTACCCATCTTCATTGCAGAAGATATAGAGCAGTGGTTCCCAACCTTTAATCTTTCAGGTGTTTTAGACTTCCAACTCCCAGAAATCCCACACATACAGTTAACTTCCCACCGGAGCGGTACCTATTGATCTACTAACATTTGCATGCTTTCGAACTGTTAGGTTGGCAGAAGCTGGGGCTAATAGTGGGAGCTCACCCCGCTCCCTGAATTTGAACCTGCGACCTTTCGATCAGCAAGTTCAGCAGCTCAGCGGTTTAACCCACTGCTCCACCGGACCACTGTAAAATAAGGTGGAAGTCACCCATCTGTGAATGGTTAACATGTGAAAGGGGAAAGGGTGTAACCCAGGCATGAGCAAACTTGGCCCCTCCAGGTGTTTTGGACTTCAATTCCCAAAATTCCTCAGATAACCCAATTCAAAGCAGATATTGTGGCATTTTCTGCCTTGATATTCTGAGTGGAAGGGCCTCTAGTGTCCTGGTTCCCAACATGAGGCATACACCCCACAGGGGGGCAATTTGAGAATGAGTTCTTACCAGTGAGTATTTTGCATTTCTTATGGTTCTAGCAGGCCTCATACACAGTATATCAATATATATTGTGCCATACAAATTTTAAAAACTAAAATCAAAATGTACACAGGTCAAAAGGTGGCGGTGGAGAATGGGAAGACTCTCTGATATAGAGCATGGAGTTCACTAGGAAGTGCATGAACACAGAAAAATGAAACAACTTTCATTCCAAACACGGCCACTCATCTTACTGACCTTCCAGACAGGCCTATACCCCAAGATCTGATCCCAGGTTTTCTACTTATATGAGTCCCCACTGCCAGATAATCTGGGATAAACAGAAAACCTGGGATCAGCTCCTGGAATATAGGGCCTGTCTGGGAGGGCCCTAGGCTGGATTTACACTGTTCTATATTCCAGGATCTGATCCCAGATTATTTTTTTATCCCACATTATCTGGTATTGTAAACTCATATAATCCAGTTCATTGCAGATAATCTGGGATCAGATCCTGGGATATAGGGTAGTGTAGACCCAGCCTCAGTGTTCTTTTAACATTGCAAGCTATACAAAATGTATCAAAATATATTTTTGTTCAGCATGTGAATATAGCAAGAAATCTGAAAAAAAGTCCAAAACACAACGATTACTTTCATAGGTAAGTCACTGTTTTGTATGAGTAATAATAAAAAATATAATCAGCTGCAAGAAAATTAATGTCAGTTGACAGGATATTCCCGCATAGTCTCACCAAATACTGTACATGAAGTTGGACACTTATATTACCCTGAATTCGATGCAGATTACTCAAATCAATTGTGCATCGAATATGATTACTGCCCATGTGATAGTTGTTCTGTTTTATTACTTAACTTTATCAAGCACAAATTGTATTCATTAGCAAAAACTGGCATTGTCAGGTTTGAGCATAGCAGTCTCACATTTTTCATTCCCATGATTTTTCCTGATATCTTCCTGGCTACTTAGAATACTTGGTTTGTTTTTGTTTTTTGATTTTGAAAAAGAGCCTTTTTGAATAGATAATGAGCATAGAAAGAGCAGAAAGAGCATGCATTGAGACAGCATTAATTGTCAACAAATGACATTGACCATATTGTCAGAAAACCCCCAAGCTGAAGTTTTAGACCTAGCTTCACTCTCTGTGGCTCTTTCTACACTGCTTTATAATCCAGATTATCAAAGCAGATAATCAGGATTTTATATGGCAGTGTAGAAGGAGCCTGTGTCTCTTTATAACAAAAGAATACCAAAAGTACCATTGAATTGCTAACAAAAAAGGCTTCCTCCATATGAATAGGAGTTTATTTATTTATTTTATTTAAAAGTTTTGAGTCCCTCACCTCTCTTGAGGGACTCAGACCGGTTTCCAATCATAATATCACATACAATCAATAAAACATCATAATACATATTACAGTAAAACCTTAAAACAGCAATTACATTCAATAACTATAATGGTCAGTCGTCACACTAAAATCGTTGCTCATCATGCTCCATCCATATCTCAGGGTTTTGGCTCACTCGTCGAATGCCTGTCTCCATAACCAAGTCTTCACCTGTTTCCTAAATGTCAGGATAGAAGGGGCGGTTCTGATCTCCACTGGGAGAGAGTTCCAGAGTCGAGGGGCCACCACTGAGAAGGCCCTGTCCCTCGTCCCCACCAGACGTGCTTGCGAGGCCGGTGGGACCGAGAGCAGGGCCTCTCCAGACGATCTTAATAATCTTGATGGTTCATAGGGGAGAATACGTTCGGAGAGGTAAACAGGGCCGGAGTTGTTTGGTTTTTTTGAATAATAAGAACTGTATGTTGGGGGAAATCAGGATTTTAGGGATGCTATTTGAGAATAAGCCACCCCAAACTACAAATCCCATGATTCCATAGCATTCAGGTATGACAATAAAAGTAGTAACAAACTGCATTATTTCTACAGTGTAAATCGGGAATGGGCAAACTTCAGCCTTCCAGGTATTTGGGACTTCAACTCCCACAATTCCTAACAGGCTGTTAGGAATTGTGGGAGTTGAATTCCAAAATACCTGGAGGGCCTAAGTTTGCCCATACCTGGTGTAGATGCACCCTGAGGTCTGATGCTCCGCTCAGCTCCTGGAAACCTAGTGATAAAGTTGCTTTATTTAAGGCACACGTATGTTCCTTTTGCTGTATGAGTATACTTGTATATCATAAGCAAATATGAGAAACAGATACATGTTACTTTCTTTCTGCAGAATAGAACCTTTTTTCTTTTAAATAGCTTCCGTTCCTCCAGTTTGGAAATGATGAACAGTTCCCACCAAAACCCATCGGACTTTCCCCATTTCCATGACTCGCTGTCTTCTTCCTTTTGGATCTCTTTTTTAAAAGGATGGATATACAACTGTTGTGAGCGATGCCTTCTCTTCTAATGCCAACAGAGGGAGCTCAATCTGTTCTTAGCACTTTTAGAACGTATAAAAATGTGATGTGATATGTTGTGCTGTGAAATGCATTGCCGATGCTTCACCCTCACCCCAAAGCCTAGGAGAAAGAGAAATCCAAGTGAGAAAACAAAAGATGGTGTGAGTCGTGGAAAGAAATTTGGAAAGACCTGAATTTTATACAAAGCTGTGAACTCTCTTTAAGAACAGGCTTTTGTAACATGTTGGGGAAGAAAAAGATTCCAGTCACTTTAAAGCAGTGGTTTCCAACCTTTCTTTGTCCACTTGAGACCACTTGACCAAAGACCACTTTGATCAGGGACCACTCTCCAACTTAGTACCAAAAGGGTTATGAATCGATTTTTGGTCAACTTTAGATTCGGTTTGATTATTTGGGGTGCTCATTCAGAAAATTGCATTGGATAGACAACATCAGCTCTAGTTTCTGATACAGAACATATGCCACCCAGTAGTCACCATCTACTCGCCCACAGAAAACCATATTTAATAATCTAGAGCTGATGTGGTTGTAGTAATCTTTCATGGGTAGTCAGCCTCTCTCCTCCTGACATTCCCTTTGCCTTGCCACTATAAGACTGTTTTGTGAGACCAGTTGCTGTCGTTGCCGTATGATTTGGCGGAAACAGTGTAGTAATGGTGAGGCTGCGGACCATATTTTCGTTCTTGTGGACCACTGGTGGTCCACAGACCACAGGTTGGAAACCACTGCTTTAAAGAATGGGAAAGTAGGGGTATTTGGAGGACCGTGATTTTGAAGAATGAATAATTAATTAATTCCCATGTCAGGTCCTGTCTCAGTGTCAATTGGTTTTCTGATGCACTTTATCCCATCCCTCAGTTGAGAATAACCTCATTGTTTATCCCACCTGAGTCTCTCTATAAATATAGCACTTTTTTTATCTACCTCACCCACGGGTTTTAAAATTTTCACTCCTTGCACTTGGCCTAGCTTGTCCTCATCTAAATTCTTGTATTGTTTTTTTATACTCTGTTTTATTATGTTAGTGTTACTATCTTATTATTTTATTATATTGTTGTATAACCATTTTTACTTGATGTTGTCGTGTGTCTTGTATGTATTTCATTTTGCTTTATTGTAATTGTTTGGGCTTGGCCCCATGTAAGCCTCCTCAAGTCCCCTTAGGGAGATGGAGGCGGGGAACAAATAAAGTTGCTATTATTATTATTATTATTATTATTATTATTATTATTATCATTATTATTATTATTGTCCAGTAAAAAGTAGAAGGTAAAAGGAAGAGGGTCCGACCAAGGGCAAGATGGATGGATGGCATCCTTGAAGTGACTGGACTGACCTTGAAGGAGCTGGGGGTGGTGACGACTGACAGGGAGCTCTGGCGTGGGCTGGTCCATGAGGTCACGAAGAGTCGGAGACGACTGAACGAATGAATAACAATAAAACTGTTCATATTGGCTTAGCCTCTTAATTCAAATTGGTGGAAATTACTAACTGGACTGCCCACATTTACCTTCTTTTTTCAAGTTACAACCAATTTTATAATACTTTAGAGTTACCTGGTCAACTGTTACTTACAATCCTGCTTTAAAAGTGGCATGTTTTTGCAGGCATTTTCTTCAGTTGCTGCTGATGCTGTTTAGCTAGACAGTGAAATTTTAGTCTTAATCATTTCTATCCAGTCTTTCCCCCTATATTGGCACTCAAGAGAGCAAAATTTATTAAAACCAATACAGATGACTAGATTGTGACTTTTTATTTTATTTTATTTATATCCAGTCTTTCTTCCAATATCTGGACTCGAAACAGCTTATACATTACACTGGGCAAAATGCACTTTGGTGCCTCAAATGTTAGAACTGTTTTTGGATATATTTGACCTCCTTAATCCAAAAATACCACCAATTTTCTCCATCAGCTCTAGTTCTTGAAATGCATAATATATATCATATACTAGTCGTCATCTGCCTGCCTATAGAAAATCATGATAACTATCTGTCTGTCTATCTATCTATCTATCTATCTATCTATCTATCTATCTATCTATCTAGCGTACCCACTTTCACAAACATCTATGATCCCACCTATGAGGAGCCACCAAAGGCCCTCTCTCCAATGATATGGCAGGTTATAGTCAGCACCATGAACATGTACAACCCCTGCCAGTGTCCTCTACAAACAGTATATTGCCCACCACCCAAGTGAAGGCTTTTATACGGGGACAATTTCATCCTAGATTTTCTGTTTTTCCTCCACCACAGGCAACCCAGTGTTTTTTACTCTCTCCATTGGTATGGAATTTGCATGACCCTACCCCACTACCTCTCCCTTAACCCTTTCATATTCTTTTCTATGGCACACAGCAAACAGAGAAATTGATTAGCAATTGAACATACTAGAGAGGTTTGGGGAGAATTCACTATGATTTATAAGGGTTGTAGGTACTGGGATTTATAGTTCACCTGCATTCAAAGAGCACTCTGAACTTCAAAAAGATGGAATTGGACCAAACTTGGGAAAATTCACCTTGATTTGGGGGAGTTGTAGATCACCTACATCCAGAGAGCATTGTAAACTTAAACACCAATGGATCTGGACCAAACTTGGATACATACCCAATATGCCAAAATTTGAATACTGGAGAGGTTTGGGGGTAACTGACCATCCTTTCTGGGAGTTGTAGTTCACCCACAACTGGAGAAATTGTGACCTCTACCGATGATGGACCTGGGCCAAACTTCGCACACAGAACCCCCATGACTAACTCAACCTACTATTGTGATTTGAATGGACTGACTCACCATAGTGGGAGTTGTAGTTCGCCTGCATCCACAGCCAGTTTGCCCAAGATAGCAAACTTTAAGTACTGATAGATTTTCTTTTGGACTGTTATTCCCCAGTCAGTAGGACTACCGGCCATGCTGGCTCCAGGGCTCTGGAAACCACTGCAACTGTGATAACCAATAGTAACTTTTCCAAGCTGTGGTGGGGTCATTGCATGCCAGAGTGTTGAGTATAGCTGCTTGTGGGCAGCAAGAAAAGTAACTTCCCTATGGAAATGTGAGATCATTTCCACTCACTACAATGCTGAGATGACTCGTTTGAGTTCCATATGGTTTCCATTTTGATATGGAAAAGCATCAAAGTTTATTTGATTACATCTTGCAGTAAACTTACAATTGGTTCGGGTCTGTGCTCTGAGTCTTTTCCTTTATTACAAAGAGGTGTTTAATTGGGTTGCTGTGAGTTTTCCAGGCTGTGTGGCCATGTTCCAGAAGCATTCTCTCCTGACATTTTGCCCACATCTATGGCAGACATTCTCAGAGTTTGTGAGGTTTCTTGGAAACTAGGCAAGTGAGGATTATATATCTGTGGAATGATGTCCAGGGTGGGAAAAAGAACTCTTATCTGTTGGAGGCAAGTGTGAATGTTGCAATTGGCCACCTTGATTAGCATTGAATGGCCTTGCAGCTTCAAAGTCTGGCTGCTTTCTTCCTGGAGGCATCCTTTGTTGGGAAGTGTTAGTTGGCCCTAATTGTTTAATTGTATCATTATTCTTACTTACCACTTTTAATGTTCTAATGTTTTTTTTATTTATCAGAAAAGGAGCAAGCAGTAAACCGAGCTGGTATTATTCAAGAAGATGTTCAACCTCCAGGTACATTTATGAATAGACAATTGGAGTACAGTATGATCTCCTTATCCATAGAATTGATGCCCATTGATTTCACTTGTCCTTTCAGGAATTTCTCCTCCTGATGTGTTTGTAGACCTCTCCAGGTCCTCCAGTGTTAATCTATGGCATGCTTCTGATCCATGTAAAAATCTAGGATTTATTTCTATATTTATTATTAGTGGTGGTAGCAGTAGTCTTTCTTTTCTGCTTCAGATACCCACAGGGAAACTTGGAACATATCCCCCATGGATAGGCAATACTGATTTTTATTTGGGGGAATTATTTTGGATGGGAGGAACACATCACCTGTTACCAAGGCATGTTGAGTCTCTTTTGTGGAGAGAAAAATAGAGTATAAATAAAAATAATAAACATTATTATTATTATTCCTGGGTCAGATGTTGTCAGGGAAAATGTCCACACTTTCTGATAATCTCGAGTTTCCAGCCCAAACACCAGATGGAGCTGCTTCATCAAGCACTTTGAGCTGGAAACCTGACTTCATGCTCTTTTTCTTCTGGAGTCAACTTTAAATGAAGGGTGTGTATAAATATTTTAAAGAGAATCACCCCTCCACAGCTACTGGGACTAGGGACACAGAACTACCCATAAAAGTTAATACAAAAATAAAATACATCTGCAAATAAAAAACCCACTGTTTTTTAACCTGAGAGAACCTAGAAATTCCTAGATTTTTTTTTCAAACTAAGAGAACCTAGAACAGTGGTTCTCAACCTGTGGGTCCCCAGGTGTTTTGGCCTACAACTCCCAGAAATCCCAGCCACTTTACCAGTTGTTAGGATTTCTGGGTATTGAAGGCCAAGACATCTGGGGACCCACAGGTTGAGAACCATTGACCTAGAAATTCCTCTTTGGGAATTTCTGGTTTCTCCAGCACTGCTCTATGGTCAACGTATGCTGGCTGCTGGTCATAGAATTGCACTGGAGAACCTACATATTCCCACACAGATGTTCTCCCAGGTTAAACAAAATACCTTTCTTGAGGATGTTGACCATAACAATTGCACTGAGGACAAGAGATTCACAGAAAGAACATTTTGAATCAAATCCATCAATAATCAAATCTGCAAAAAGCCAAACATGGAAATGTGGAGGTCCAACTGTAATTAAATATCTTCCGTGTTCAAATATCTGATCTCAAAATAAGCATCTGTGCTTTTGGTCCATATGCTATGCAAACCGGTATTTAAAAACATGCATACATGCGTCATGCAGTTTTTCAGCATTTTTTTTTTCACTCGTTCATTTGCTGAATGCATGAGAAGTCAAGTCTTTTACAAGTCAAGAATGTTCCTAGAAATCCCCTTTTGTAAACCAGTTCTTCCATAAATCAGGGGTAAAGGTAAAGGTAAAGGTAAAGGTTTCCCCTGGCATTAAGTCTAGTCGTGTGCACTCTGGGGGTTGGTGCTCATCTCCATTTATAAGCTGAAGAGCCCACATTGTCCATATACACATCCAAGGCCATATGACCGGCATGACTCATGGAGCACTGTTACCTTCCTGCAGAAGCAGTACCAATTGATCTACTCACATTTGCATGTTTTTGAACAGGTAGTTTGGCAGAAGCTGGTGCTAACAGTGGGAGCTCACCTCACTACCTAGATTCAAACTGCCGATCTTTCTGTCAGCAAGTTCAGCAGCTCAGTGGTGTAACCCACTGTGCCACCAGGGGCTCTAAATCAGGGCTATTGTTCTATTTATTGACTATGTCTTGTGTATACTTGTGATATTACGCCTATTAATATACACAAGGGATGATGTGATAACTCCTCTTTTGCTGCCATTTTCTAAACTAAATACACCTTTCTTTTCCTTAGGATTAAAAGTATGGTCTGATCCATTTGGAAGAAAGTAAAGATCTTTTTGAACGCCATCTTGAGAATGGGTATATTGCCCCTCTTCAGTCTGTGGAGCTTCGGGTTTTTCAGTAAATGAAGATAATACTGAAGAGGGACTTCGTATGTTGGGTTGTTCTGTTTAGTATCAGTCTGTCTAGAGGGAGGAGCAGTTGGGTTAAAGGTATTATGTGTCAGTGATCCCGTAGTAATGTAACAAAGCTGCACTTCATGTTTCCGTTGAACAAATAGAATAATGACCTTTTTCTTCAGTAGGGAAGTTGGAGGGAATTGTTTTGGTGAACATAGATGAGACATGATCAGGGAATAGATTATGCAACTGATATTTCTATACATTTCTCTAAATGTGCACTGAAAAATGAAATATTTGTAAAATAGAAAACGAGTACTGGAAATCTGAAGAGCAATGCCTCTGTATATCTGTAAATTATGCCTTGATTCAAACAGAAATTTGTAGTGTGTATAATAATAATAATAATAATAATAATAATAATAATAATAATAATTCTCTTGTGCTGCAAAAGGAGGTTTACCTGTAATAATGATTTGTGTTTGTATACATATACACACACGACAGTGCAAGTCTTCAGAATAAAGGCTTTCCTGTTTTAAAGAATGTAAATAATTAATTATTCATTTTTTATTTTGGATGGTATTTTGACTGCTAAATGGGGTGAGCTGGGAAATCATTCATTTTTAACAAAATGTATCCTTATACTCCCAAGAAGAATTATAATTTCATGGAGTCATGGACCCAGAAAGAGAATGCATGTGAATTAAGATAGAATTATTCTTCATTTGAGGGATGAGAGGAATATCTTTGACCTCGGTGTGTTCAGGTTAGGAGACTCAACACTAAGCATGACTTGCTCATTTAACGTATTTGGGTTTGTTTGTTTTTTGTAGAAAAATCCCAGAATCACTTGTTTAAGTTTTCTCCCATTGTACTCTAGCAATGATTAACTGTCATTTTTTCCCAGAATTGTGTACAGTCAGTCTGACATCAATTGCACCGCAGTTTAGACAGACGTAAACCAAAAGCAGCTGTATTTGTCCCATGTTCTGCTACACTAGAGTGCAATAACATGTTTTGCTAAAGCAAGGTCACACATTCCTGGGAAATCAGTTCTTTCCAAGCTTTTTAGGAAACAGAGCAAACACAAGTGGGTGGGTGTACACACTGGGCGGAATCAAAAAGGGATTGAGTTGTAAATGAAAATAACAACCGTGATTGACAGAACATTGGACAAATTTGGTTTGCTTGCTTCTTTTGGTAAATAACTTGGCAAGTTTTTCTTGCATGGCAGGGGGTTGGACTGGATGTTCCATGTGGTCGCCTCCAACTCGATGATTCTATGACTCTAAGGGGCCTTCCAGACAGGCCCTATATCCCAGGACCTGATCCCAGGTTTTCTGTTTATCCCAGATTATCTGGCAGTGTAGACTCATAATCCAGTTTAAAGCAGAAAACCTGAGATCAGATCCTGAGATATAGGGGCTGTCTGGAAGTCTCCCTTGGTTTTGGAGGAAACCATGAAAATGAATTAAATCTGGCTTCCTGTACTAAAAAAAAAACCTTTAAAATCAGGACAGTAAATAAAGAAGAACACTAAAAAAACAGGAGAATTGCAGACAAACAATCAGGGCCAGCTAACACCTCCCAACAAAGGACCCCCCCCCCCCCGGCAGCAACCAGCCAGGTTTTGAAGCTGCAAGGTCATTCAATTCTGAATGACCTTGCAAGATGGCCAATTGCAAGCAGACAAGGGTTCTTTCTCCCACCCTGGACATTCCACAGATATATAAACCTCACTTGTCTAGTTTCCAACAAACTTCACAATCTCTGAGGATGCCTGCCATAGATGTGGGTGAAATGTCAGGAAGGAATGCTTCTGGAACATGGCCATACAGCCCAGAAAATTCACAGCAACCCAGTGATTCTGGCCATGAAATTTATTTATTTGTTTACCAACTTTCTCAGCCCGGAGGCGACACAGGATGGTTCACAGTCGGCAGCAATTTGATGCCTCCACAATTACAAATGAAGTATGTTGAATGCCATTCTTCTATTTATTTATTTTTTTGGTCCACTCATAGCTAGAGACCTCATTCCCCTTCTTGTTAGGATTATTTGGTTTAGAAGGGTAACAGTGTGCATTTTTTAGGCTCCATAGCTTTCCACTTGGGTACACCTAAATTCACCTCCTCTTTTGTGTGTGTATGTGCCTTCAAGTTACCTGTCAACTTAGAGCAACCACATGAATTTTTCATAGTGTTTTCTTTGCCAAGAACTATTCAGAGGTAGTTTTGCCTGTTCCATCCTCTGAAATATAGCTTTCAGTATCTGATAATCATTGATCATCTCCCATTCAAGTACTAACCAGAGCTGACTCTTCTTATCAGACAGGATCTAGAACTTTTAGTCTATGTAAACCCCTTTCACCTCTTCTTAGGGACAGCCAAATGGCAGACTTAAACAAAAAGAAATGTCACAAGAAGATACTGTGGAGATCAACAAAACTCCACAATAAAACAGCTGCACATGTGTGTCTCTTATGTATAAATGTAAACCAGGATGATTTCAAGTTCTCAACCGTCTATATAAATAAGGTAAGGTAAGGTTTCTCCTTAACATTAAGTCTACTAGTGTCCAACTCAGGGGTGGTGCTAATTTCCATTTCTAATCCAAAGAGCCAACGTTGTCCGAAGACAACTCCTAAGTCATGTGGCCAGCATGACTGCATGGAGCACCATTACCTTCCCGCCGAAGTAGTACCTATTGATCTCACATTTGCATGTTTTCGAACTGCTAGGTTGGCAGAAACTGGGGCTAACAGCAGGAGCTCACACTGCTCCCTGGATTTGAACCACTGACCTTTCAGTTGGCAAGTTCAGCAGCTCAGCAGTTTAACCTGCTGCACCACCGGAGGCTCCTGTCTATATAGCTATGACCATATAATTATTTTTTTTAAGTTGTGTCAGGAGTGACTCCTGGTGTGAGAGAATTGGCTGTCTGCAAAGACGTTGCCCAGGGGACGCCTGGATGATTTGATGTTTTTATCATCCTTGTGGGAGGCTTCTCTCATGTCCCCGCATGAGGAGCTGGAGCTGATAGAGGGAGCTCATCCGCCTTTCCCCGGATTCGAAACTGCGACCTGTTTAACCCACTGTGCCACCAGGGCTGCCACCATATAACTGAAAAACAATTATAACTGGGATCAGAATGTAGTCATATATAAATTTCAGTGTGTATGCTAAAATGTTCATAGGAGACTGGCTAATATATTTCTGTAACTGCACGAAATTGAGAATATATCTCTTCAAACTGTGATAACTTCAGCTGTACTTCATAAAATGGAAAATCAGTCTGTTTTGCAAGCCTTGCAAATGTATTATCAGTAAGTGTTTGATTTTTGTAAGTATTTTATATAACAATATACCCGGGGTTATTTAGACATTTCTCAGGCCAAAAAGGGGTCCCGAGTGGAAAAATGTAAGATGCCCTGGTCTAGAGGAAGAGGCACATTCACTTGGTAAGCAGATCTATTGATCTCCTCCCTGTTATGAAGACCACATGAAATGCTTGGAGGATAATTGGTTTCACACCTTCTACTCCAGGCGACAGTTTTTACTGTCATCGTACATATGACCTCTTGACTTGCTCGCATAAATGACTGTTGTCTTTTGATCTGTCTTCACCTGGTCATTGTGTGCCCACAATGGAAAACCTTTCTGCCCACACAAGATGCATGCCAGAGCATATGCATGCAGGGACTGTGTTCTTAAAAAGTGATATTGTGTTTGCTCCAAATAGCTCAAGGCAAAGTAGGCATGCATTGAAGGCATTTTCTTCAACATCATTATCATTTTTGTACCATCTTGGTAAATGAGACAGTTTTCCGATTATAATTTTGCAGATTATATTCCGATACTTTTCAGAAGGCGGCTTTCACGGCTCTATTGGCTGAATACCATATACAGGCAGTCCCTGAGGTACAACCATCCGACTCACAAACGACTGATAGTTAAGAACCAGGGTTAGACTACAGGAAATGAGAGGAATCTACCCCTCAGAAGGAAATTCACTCCTGGAAGAATTACTCAAAGAAAGGAATGGGTTCTTTTTAAAATAACTGTTATGGAACAGAATTAACTGTTATCAGAAAAGAAACCTTCTCTGTTAAGAGTGGTTAAGAGGGATGAAAGGTAACAGCTTAGTTCTCAACCTGTGGGTCCCCAGGTGTTTTGGCCTACAACTCCCAGAAATCCCAGCCAGTTTACCAGCTGTTAGGATTTCTGGGAGTTGAAGGCCAAAACATCTGGAGACCCACAGGTTGAGAACCACTAGTCCATCCCAGGAGACCTTAAAAGAAACACCAATCATCTCTATTCTCTCAGGTCTTCTTTGAGGGACAGCACTAAAGAACAGTAGTTGCTACCATCCTATCCTTCCTTCCTTCTCTCTTTCTTTCCTTCCTTCTTTCCTCCCTTCCTCCCTTCCTCCCTCTTCTCCTCTCTCCTTCCCTTCTTTCTCCTTCCTCCTTCCTCCTTCTCTTCTCTCCTTTCTTTCCTTCCTTTCCTTCCTTCCTCCTTCCTTCCCTTTTTATCCTTCCTTCCTTCCCTCCCTTTTTTTCCTTTCCCTCTCTCCCTTCTTCCTTCCCTCCTTCCTTCCTTCCTTCCTTTTTCTCCTCCCTCCTTTTTCCTTCCCTCCCCTTTCTCCCTCCCATTCCTTTCTCCCTTTCATCCTCCTTTCTTCTCTCCTTCCTTCCTTCCTTCCTTTTCCTTCCTCCCCTTCCTTCCCTTCCTTTCCTTCCTTCCCTTCCTCTTCCTTCCCTTCCTTCTTCCTTTCCTTCCTTCTTTTGTCTTTCCTTCTTCCTCTTTTCATCCCTCCTTCCTCTTTCCCTCTTTCTCCTTCCATTCTTTTCTTTCCTTTCCCTTCCCTTTCTTCCCTCCCTCCTTCCTTCCCTCCGTCTTTCTCCCTCCCATTGCCTTTCTCCCTTTCATCCTTCCTTTCCTTCTCTCCTTCCTTCCTTCCTTCCTTCCTTCCTTCCTTCCTTCCTTCCTTCCTTCCTTGGCTTTTGTCTTCCCTTCCTTCCCTCTTTCATCCCTCCTTTCCTCTTTCCCTCTTTCTCCATTCTTTTCTTTTCTCTTTTTCCCCCTTCCCTTTCTCCCTCCCTCCCCCCCTCCCCCCCCCCTTCCTTCCTTCCTCCCCTTTCTCCCTCCCTTCCCTCTTTTTTCCCTTCTCTTCCTTTCCTTCTCTCCTTCCTTCCTTCCTTCTTCCTTCCTTCCTCCTTCCTTGGCTTTTGTCTTCCCTTCCTTTCCTCTTTCATCCCTCCTTTCCTCTTTCCCTCTTTCTCCTTCCTTCATTCTTTCCTTTTCTCTTTCTCCCTTCCCTTTCTTCCCTCCCTCCCTCCCTTCCCTCCGCCTTTCTCCCTTTCATCCTTCCTTTCCTTCTCTCCCTCCTTCCTTCCTTCCTTCCTTCCTTCCTTCCTTCCTTCCTTCCTTCCTTCCTTCCTTCCTTCCTTCCTTCCTTCCTTCCTTTTTTCTTCCTTCATTCTTTCCTCCCTTTCCTCTTTCCCTCTTTCTCCATTCTTTTCTTTTCTCTTTCCCCCTTCC